GATGGGCTCAACCCATGTGAGCTCCAGGATCCGGCCTCATTCGTTCAGAACAGTACACAAGGCTACAAGTTGGGCTCTGAATAGTCTGACAAGAAGAGGCCCGGTGACTTTAAAGGCCCTAATAAAGGTTGAATTGTTTGTTTTTTAATAGCCCATGCCCCATGCCTATTTACCAAAAAAAAAAAAAAGAAAAAGAATCCAAGTTGGGGGGTGTGGGTGGACCTAAATTCTAGTGTACAGTAAAAGGATGCAGTGCACCATTTTCTAGCATTTTCCAACTGAGCTGGTGAACATGTGCCCGCTGGGCTTCTGGTCTTAACTTTTTCAAACACGGCACCCTTATCAAGTGGGCACTCGAGATATAGAGAACAAATGGTGGGAACCCACTCAGGAATATCATTTAATCAAAATATTACACAGAATGTTTTTGAGAACATCATAGTACATGCAAGTTGTATGGATACAATGATATAACCCAAAATAATGGATCATCTTTTGACAAATAATTAGTGCTTTAGTGAGGATAAATAAAACAACCGAGAGTGAATGGCCCGTTTTTGCTTAGTGGTATTGGACGTTGGGTTAGGATTGTTCACCATCATGGGTGGTGTGTTTGAATCCCATGGAACTCATTTCTCCTATCTTCCATATATCTCTGTAAATAATGCCAAATTGTTCGAAAAAAAAAAAACCGAGAGTCTATTCCAATAACTAAAGCACATGTTAAGATTAAGTTTGTAATTATAAATTGTTATTAAATAAGTGAATATATATAATATTATAAATAAATTTTTAAATAAAAAATTAATAATATAATAATATATTGTAATTATGCCTTTGTAATATCATATTACATTATAACTATATTATTTTCGTAAAATTTTAATCGAATTAACATTTAATGGTTTTAAAAATATTATATTTAGAATCAAGGTGTAGGATTTGGACCATAATGTGACATGCTAATTTTTCCATGTACCAAAAATGAAATTGCATTACAAGCCAACTGAAGGCAACAATGAAGGAAAAAAAACCCTTTTGCAATAAAAATAAATTAATACAACTTATGAATTACATCAAACTAATCAACATCATAAATTTTCTCTGTATCATAAACGGAAAGCAACCATACATTTTGGTGAACCTCTTCAAGAGCTCACCTTCTGAGTTTATTCTTAAATGTACATGTTGACACATATATTATAAATCATTAAATCTTAGCACCTTTTTAGAAGGTGATTAGTACTTGACTAATTTAATTAGCCTTTTCCGGAATAGTTAAAAGAACTGCTGTAAGATGGAGCTGGACGAGAAACCATCCTCGAATTATTATTATTATTATTGTTATTATTATTATTAGCATCTTGGTGCCTGTATGATGACTTTGTGCTGGATGAATTGAATCTTCCATCCCTTTGCTTCCTCCTTCCCAGTGACGACCGCGGAATAAACACTCCTGTGCCTTTGCTCTGGTCTCCTCTGCAACTTTGCTCGTAAAGAAATGGAGATTGTGCTGTAATTGGATAATCCCCTCTAGAAAAACCCTGAAAATTTCACACAATTGTATGTGAATTGAAGCTAATGCCAGGAAAAAGAGCCCATATCCATAACAAATTAACTGAGTTGATACTCACTGACTTCAAAATTGAGATTAGAATTCTTTACTAGTGTTTATGCATGTTAGATTACAAGAAAGCAGATGATAATAATTACCTGGAAAGAAACTGAAGGGCATCTGGTTCTTGGATCTTCATCATCATCATCCATGATTAGAAGAGAGATTTGCTTGCTTAAGTCTGCAAAGAACAAATCATCTTCTAATTCCACCCCAACGTCCATATCTTCTCAACTTTACTCTAAATCTTTTGCTTATGAATTGATTGAAATCTCTCTCCTTTTCTCAAATGAAGTAGGGGATTAAGAGG